TCCATCCACTTGATGGCTCAATCTCAGTTACTATAAAACCAAATGGCTTACAGAATGCAAAAAAAGGAAAGAAAACAAATGTTTTTTAACAAAAATATAGGATTTGGGATGCCTTGATCTACAATTTTTTAACTATTATTGGTCTGTAAATATCAACACAGTCATTTTGGTTTATCACTAATACCAAGCCAGTCTGCATGCCAGTGGAGGAGGCCTCATCTGATTCTGCTCCTCTGCTTTCTCTTGTTTTTCCTGGCCACTCTTGAAAAAAGATTTTAATTTTTTTTACCTGGTTAAATAAATTGATTATCTAAACGGCATCCCATTTAGATAATGTCTTTGTCAAGTTCATTAAAAATCTGGAGTCATGTAAAGCACCTCTTATTTCCCCATTTCAATTAAATCCCTCATTTCCTCCATCAGTAATTGATCAAACTTTTGCCACTTGGGGGAGCTGCAGACATATCTCTATATTATCATCAGAGCCCATGGCCCTTTGGCTACATTTTCTCAATTACCTTCAAACCTTAAGCTGCCCAATACTCATTTCTTCGGGTACTTTAATTGCACTTTCCACACTGGAGAGGAATCAAACCTTTTTCAAAGAGCGTGTTTAATTTTCATCTGTTAACTTGGCACTTTCTGGTCTGAGGAACTGAATGTGGATCTCGATAGAGAGCAATTCTTGTTTATTCTGAATCCTGTCCATTATGTTGCTGGCCAGAAGAGCCATTCTAATGCTATGGAATGACCCTGACCCACCAACTCCCACCTGATAAAGACGGACACTGCTTTATAAAACTGAAAAAAAAAAAAAAATAAATAAAAAATAAGACTCTCCATCAGAGGCTCTGATTATGTTTCTTTTTAATTTTGTTCCCCTTTTAGGAATGTTGCATCACTAAGCCTGGAGATGCAGCTGTTTCTTTCTCCCTCTCCTTTTTGTTTCTTGTCTAGTCATGTCTTTTGGGCCCACAACCTGTATTGTAATGGTTATTACACACACACACACAGCTTTGAATTCATTTATTTAGTTTGTGCTTTTTATATTGGGGGGAGGTGGTTGTTTTTCTTTTAATTACTCAAATTCTCTTTTGTTATGAATCTAGTTTTTTTTAACCATCAATGGCCATTAAATGTAAGGGGGGTGGGGGTGGGGGGTACATGTGTTTTCAGCTTCCATGGTGACTGCTTTTGTTTATCTCTAATATTCCTTCATTCTAACTGTGAAAATGATACCACAAAAAATAAAGATATCCATTTCTATTTGGGATCAGTTAATTTGATGGTTCCAGTTTACTTATTTCCTCCCTCAAAGCTGATGTGAAAAGTTAAATCATTCTTCACCTTATTTTAATAAATTTGTGTATCGTCATTGATCTATTATTAAAATAATCATCAACTAATTTAGTAATCGATTAATCTTTAACTGGAGTATTAAGACTCCAAAACATGCCTTTAGCTGACAGAGAAACTAACTTAGAACAGTAATTAAACCAAAATTGTAAATATATATATTAATGTGTGCATTTCAGATAAAAAAAAAATTCTTGTCTGTCATTATGCTTTATTTGGAACTCCTTAAGTGTAAAAAGCTCCATCTGTACGGAGGAGGTCCATCTGTATGGAGGAGGTCCATCTGTATGGAAGAGCTCCATCTGTACAGAGGACCTTCATCTGTATGGAAGAGCTACATCTGTACGGAGGAGGTCCATCTGTACGGAGGAGGTCCATCTGTACGGAGGAGGTCCATCTGTACGGAGGAGGTCCAGCTGTACGGAGGAGGTCCATCTGTACGGAGGAGGTCCATCTGTATGGAAGAGCTCCATCTGTACGGAGGAGGTCCATCTGTATGGAAGAGCTCCATCTGTACAGAGGACCTTCATCTGTATGGAAGAGCTCCATCTGTACGGAGGAGGTCCATCTGTACGGAGGAGGTCCATCTGTATGGAGGAGGTCCATCTGTACGGAGGAGGTCAATCTGTACGGTGGAGGTCCATCTGTACAGAGGACCTTCATCTGTATGGAAGAGCTCCATCTGTACGGAGCAGCACTATCTGTACAGAGTTGCTCCATCTATATGAAGCAGCTCCATCTGGAGCTGCATCTGTATGGAGGAGCTCCATCTATATGAAGCAGCTCCATCTGGAGCTCCATCTGTATGGAGGAGCTCCATATATATGAAGCAGCTCCATCTGGAGCTCCATCTGTATGGAGGAGGTCCATCTCTATGAAGCAGCTCCATCTGGAGCTCCATCTGTATGGAGGAGCTCCATCTCTATGAAGCAGCTCCCTCTGGAGCTCCATCTGTATGGAGGAGCTCCATCTATATGAAGCAGCTCCATCTGGAGCTCCATCTGTATGGAGGAGCTCCATCTATATGAAGCAGCTCCATCTGGAGCTCCATCTGTATGGAGGAGCTCCATCTATATGAAGCAGCTCCATCTGGAGCTCCATCTGTATGGAGGAGCTCCATCTATATGAAGCAGCTCCATCTGGAGCTCCATCTGTATGGAGGAGCTCGATCTATATGAAGCAGCTCCATCTGGAGCTCCATCTGTATGGAGGAGCTCCATCTATATGAAGCAGCTCTATCTGGAGCTGCATCTGTATGGAGGAGCTCCATCTATATGAAGCAGCTCTATCTGGAGCTGCATCTGTATGGAGGAGCTCCATCTATATGAAGCAGCTCCATCTGGAGCTCCATCTGTATGGAGGAGCTCCATCTATATGAAGCAGCTCCATCTGGAGCTCCATCTGTATGGAGGAGCTCCATCTATATGAAGCAGCTCCATCTGGAGCTCCATCTGTATGGAGGAGCTCCATCTATATGAAGCAGCTCCATCTGTATGGAGGAGCTCGATCTATATGAAGCAGCTCCATCTGGAGCTCCATCTGTATGGAGGAGCTCCATCTATATGAAGCAGCTCTATCTGGAGCTGCATCTGTATGGAGGAGCTCCATCTATATGAAGCAGCTCTATCTGGAGCTGCATCTGTATGGAGGAGCTCCATCTATATGAAGCAGCTCCATCTGGAGCTCCATCTGTATGGAGGAGCTCCATCTATATGAAGCAGCTCCATCTGGAGCTCCATCTGTATGGAGGAGCTCGATCTATATGAAGCAGCTCCATCTGGAGCTCCATCTGTATGGAGGAGCTCCATCTATATGAAGCAGCTCTATCTGGAGCTGCATCTGTATGGAGGAGCTCTATCTATATGAAGCAGCTCTATCTGGAGCTGCAACTGTATGGAGGAGCTCCATCTATATGAAGCAGCTCCATCTGGAGCTCCATCTGTATGGAGGAGCTCGATCTATATGAAGCAGCTCCATCTGGAGCTCCATCTGTATGGAGGAGCTCCATCTATATGAAGCAGCTCTATCTGGAGCTGCATCTGTATGGAGGAGCTCCATCTCTATGAAGCAGCTCCCTCTGGAGCTCCATCTGTATGGAGGAGCTCCATCTATATGAAGCAGCTCCATCTGGAGCTCCATCTGTATGGAGGAGCTCCATCTATATGAAGCAGCTCCATCTGGAGCTCCATCTGTATGGAGGAGCTCCATCTATATGAAGCAGCTCCATCTGGAGCTCCATCTGTATGGAGGAGCTCCATCTATATGAAGCAGCTCCATCTGGAGCTCCATCTGTATGGAGGAGCTCGATCTATATGAAGCAGCTCCATCTGGAGCTCCATCTGTATGGAGGAGCTCCATCTATATGAAGCAGCTCTATCTGGAGCTGCATCTGTATGGAGGAGCTCCATCTATATGAAGCAGCTCTATCTGGAGCTGCATCTGTATGGAGGAGCTCCATCTATATGAAGCAGCTCCATCTGGAGCTCCATCTGTATGGAGGAGCTCCATCTATATGAAGCAGCTCCATCTGTATGGAGGAGCTCCATCTATATGAAGCAGCTCCATCTGTATGGAGGAGCTCGATCTATATGAAGCAGCTCCATCTGGAGCTCCATCTGTATGGAGGAGCTCCATCTATATGAAGCAGCTCTATCTGGAGCTGCATCTGTATGGAGGAGCTCCATCTATATGAAGCAGCTCTATCTGGAGCTGCATCTGTATGGAGGAGCTCCATCTATATGAAGCAGCTCCATCTGGAGCTCCATCTGTATGGAGGAGCTCCATCTATATGAAGCAGCTCCATCTGGAGCTCCATCTGTATGGAGGAGCTCGATCTATATGAAGCAGCTCCATCTGGAGCTCCATCTGTATGGAGGAGCTCCATCTATATGAAGCAGCTCTATCTGGAGCTGCATCTGTATGGAGGAGCTCTATCTATATGAAGCAGCTCTATCTGGAGCTGCAACTGTATGGAGGAGCTCCATCTATATGAAGCAGCTCCATCTGGAGCTCCATCTGTATGGAGGAGCTCGATCTATATGAAGCAGCTCCATCTGGAGCTCCATCTGTATGGAGGAGCTCCATCTATATGAAGCAGCTCTATCTGGAGCTGCATCTGTATGGAGGAGCTCCATCTATATGAAGCAGCTCTATCTGGAGCTGCATCTGTATGGAGGAGCTCCATCTATATGAAGCAGCTCCATCTGGAGCTCCATCTGTATGGAGGAGCTCCATCTATATGAAGCAGCTCTATCTGGAGCTGCATCTGTATGGAGGAGCTCCATCTATATTAAGCAGCTCCATCTGGAGCTCCATCTGTATGGAGGAGCTCCATCCTAATGATGAACTACCAGATGAGCTTTAGTTTCATCCAACAGCTTAATTGGAATTATATCCATGAAGCTAAACTGGGAAGGTTTTTCAGATTCAGCCAGAAATTTTTTCTGTCAGTTCAAGAGCTTCTTGGTCAGAAGAGTCAATCAATTAAAATGTTCTCCAGAAAACAGTGAAAGAGAACAAATTGGACCAAAACAGAATTGAAGACCATCTCAAGAACCAGGAATTGGATTTAGAAGTAATCTGGTCAGAACCAATGATCTGTTTAGAGGCAGGAATGTCCTCTGCAGAGATGAAGCACACTGATATAGGGGAGTCTCACTCTCAGCTTTATTTTACAAAAATCTCTCAAAGGCCAGATCTGCGACCCGCCGACATGCTGCAGGACCACAGAACACTTTATAGGCGATCTGACAGGGATCTCACAGAGTTAAACTGGTTTTTACAGAAAAAAAACCCCCATTCCCTGAAAACAGGGAATCGGTCCTGCTGGGAGTCATTGAGCTCCTCCTTCCTTTTTACTGAATCTTGTTCATGGTTCTGCTGGAGCGACTTCTCAGAACCCTCTCGAACAGATCATCTGTGGAAACAAACAGAATCGTTACCGGGACCAGAACCTAAACCAGGATCACAAGCTAAAGACGAGTCCCTCACTGTTCCTGAAACTCCTGGAGTCCACCTGGAAAACAGACAAGATTTCAGACAGAGGAACATCTGATCTCCTGATGCTCGTTAGGAAAACCTTTAATGATTCCTTACTGCAGGCGAAGCCGCTGCTGGTCCATCTGCCTGCTCCCTGTCTGCCCTTGGAGCTGCAACAGAGAACCAAAGACAGATGTTTCCAGCAGTACACACCGGATCAGAACCTCTGCAGACTGGTGTAGTGCTGTGGCTCACCCAGAGGTTTGATGATGCTGTTGATGGCGTGAACAATGCCGTTAGTCGCCATCAGGTCGGCGTCCACCACAGGAACCTTGTTGACATAGACGGTGTAGTTCCTCTGGTGCAGAGAGAGAAAACAGGATCAACGGCTGATCATCAGGTTATTGAAGAAGCTGTTTGACCAATCAGGAGCCTGCAGAAGAGGCGAACTTCTCACTGACCACGCCCAGCTCCAGTTTTTCCCCCTGCAGAGGCGTCACACGAGTGTGAGAGCTGACTCCCCCGCTCACCAACAGACCCTCCCCCAGGTGCAGCCTGAGGACATCTGACAGCTGTTGAGGGTTCCCTGCAGAGACACAGACAGGTGAGGGACCTAGGCGTCTATCTGAGGAGCTGCTGAGAGCTGATTGGCTTTCAGGAACTTCCGTTCGCCTCCCAGTTCTGCCTCACTACAGCAGGTTCTATAAGAATATCTCCCTGTTCCTGTTTTTCCCAAGCTCTCTTTATCAGTGGAGGGAATCTGTCAACAGCTGGAGCTGCAGTGATGTTTTCCTCTCTGAGTCACATAAACAACTGGAACCCAAATGGAGCAGAGTGCTTTTGTGGTTCAGACAAAGTTAAACAACCATTCAAGCTTCCCCTTCATCACGGTGGGGGGTTTTATGGGCTCAGAAGCCTGAAGCTTCCAGGTCATCAGGTCAGTTGGTCTAAAGTTCTGCTGGTTCTATAGAACTGAGGAGATTCCGGCTTCATATCAGATGGAGGTTTGTCTCCTCATACTCTCTGAGCTGGATCAGAACTGCAGAAAGTGGCATCAGAAAGTCTGAGGATAAATTAGAACTTTTTTTTTTTTATCTAAACACTTTCATTAACTCTTAATATCCACCTAATTTGAAGTAATCCTCACCATTTTGCATACCCCAAATGGAAAACTAAGGAACTGTGAGCCCAAATTACACGTGTCGTACATCACTTGAAAGCTAACACCTTCTAGTTTTTGAAAATACAAATAAAATAGTGTGACCAAAACACAGCCATAAGTGGATCAGTTCAAACATGACTCATTCCTAGAAAATATCAGGTCTTTTTTGAATAGCAGTAAAAAAGACATGCTTGACAATAGGCATGTATCATTGTATTATTGATTTGCACTGCCGACAGTTTATTCACAGTACCAATTGTTTACATATACACTTGCAATAACATACTTTAACTCTCATATGCAATTACCTTCCACTCCAGTTTAATTTAGATAGCTTCTGTCCAAACTGTATTCATTTATAGTAAAATCCATCTGTATATACACTATATTGCCAAAAGTATTTGCTCACCCATCCAAATTATTGGAATCAGGTGTTCCAATCACTTCCATGGCCACAGGTGTATAAATTCAAGCACCTAGGCATGCAGACTGTTTTTACAAACATTTGTGAAAGAATGGGTCGCTCTCAGGAGCTCAGTGAATTCCAGCGTGGAACTGTGATAGGATGCCACCTGTGCAACAAATCCAGTCGTGAAATTTCCTCGCTCCTAAATATTCCACAGTCAACTGTCAGCTGTATTATAAGAAAATGGAAGTGTTTGGGAACGACAGCAACTCAGCCACGAAGTGGTAGGCCACGTAAACTGACGGAGCGGGGTCAGCGGATGCTGACGCGCATAGTGCGAAGAGGTCGCCAACTTTCTGCAGAGTCAATCACTACAGACCTCCAAACTTCATGTGGCCTTCAGATTAGCTCAAGAACAGTGCGCAGAGAGCTTCATGGAATGGGTTTCCATGGTCGAGCAGCTGCATCCAAGCCATACATCACCAAGTGCAATGCAAAGCGTCGGATGCGGTGGTGTAAAGCACGCCGCCACTGGACTCTAGAGCAGTGGAGACGCGTTCTCTGGAGTGACGAATCGCGCTTCTCCATCTGGCAATCTGATGGACGGGTCTGGGTTTGGCGGTTGCCAGGAGAACGGTACTTGTCTGACTGCATTGTGCCAAGTGTAAAGTTTGGTGGAGGGGGGATTATGGTGTGAGGTTGTTTTTCAGGAGCTGGGCTTGGCCCCTTAGTTCCAGTGAAAGGAACTCTGAATGCTTCAGCATACCAAGACATTTTGGACAATTCCATGCTCCCAACTTTGTGGGAACAGTTTGGAGCTGGCCCCTTCCTCTTCCAACATGACTGTACACCAGTGCACAAAGCAAGGTCCATAAAGACATGGATGACAGAGTCTGGTGTGGATGAACTTGACTGGCCTGCACAGAGTCCTGACCTCAACCCGATAGAACACCTTTGGGATGAATTAGAGCGGAGACTGAGAGCCAGGCCTTCTCGTCCAACATCAGTGTGCGACCTCACAAATGCGCTTCTGGAAGAATGGTCAAAAATTCCCATAAACACACTCCTAAACCTTGTGGACAGCCTTCCCAGAAGAGTTGAAGCTGTTCTAGCTGCAAAGGGTGGACCGACGTCATATTGAACCCTATGGATTAGGAACGGGATGTCACTTAAGCTCATATGTGAGTCAAGGCAGGTGAGCAAATACTTTTGGCAATATAGTGTATGCTATTGTACTTAACTGTAAAAACCCTTTTTATAGTAATATCCACCTGTATATTATATTTGGTACAGATCCAGCTGTAAATTGAGTTCATAACACTAGTTATCTATATATTATATTCATCTGTTAGTAAGATTCTGTTTATAATGGTATTCATCTCTATACTTATTCAGTAGAAACCCATGTCCTGTATTTATAGAAACATTAGTTATCCTGTACTTGCTGCTATTGCACTTCTCGTTGGACCTAAACTGCATTTCGTTGACTTGAACCTGTACATGTGCAATGACAATAAAGTTGAATCTACTCTACTCTACTCTACTCTACTCTACTCTACTCTACTCTACTCTACTCTAATCTAATCTAATCTAATTACATTTATTCTGCATCAAATCGTATAACAGTTCCAGAGCTGTGGGACTTTTAACTTCTGGAGTCATCAGCGTCTCCAAACCTCTCCATATATGCCAAAATATTCCAAATTGTGCTTATTGCTTTTAAACAATAATTTTACTCCAAAAATCACACTGGACCATTTTGATAGCCACATAACATTTTTGAAGCAAATAATGTTCCAGTCACTAATCTGCCTGTATAATGTTTACGCCAGGCAATATATCAGGGCTGCACTGTTCAAATTAGTCATGTTTAGCCTTGTTTGAAACCTTATTTCATTGACTACAAAGCCAAACAGGGCACGTTGTCTTAACCAATAATAGCAGGACTCTATGAGGCATAATATCGCTCTACTCTGTGCGTCATTGGTTTACAGGCAAGGAGCACCTGTGATACTTCCATGGCTGTCCCTGAATCAAATCGAATCATACACAGATGCGGGCACTTTGGTTTTGTAGGCAGGAAGGTGCTGAAAACAAACATACCCAACAAGGCAAATGTTTCAGGGAGCAAGTCTTATTAACAAGATGTTAACTTTTTTTATGTAAAAAAAAAACAGACTTTATGTGGTTATTTTCTGATCACGGAATATTTGTATTATGAAAATGCTGGATTACTTTGATTCTGTGGACCCTTATGAATGAATGGAGTATAAACAATTGAAGATTGGATTTATAATACAGTATGGCTTCTGGATGCCTTCAAAGGTATGTTTTTGCAGCTGCTTTTTGATATTTACATTTTACTATGCTGCTATAACTGTGTTAAATGTGCTTTGGTGCATGCTGGGTCAATAAAATGAACTTGGAGGTTGAATTGTGGAGAATCTAATCTAATCAGTAAAGTGCCTTGAGATGACATGTGTTGTGAATTGGCGCTATATAAATAAACTGAAATGAATGGAAACTTAATTAAAGGTTTAACCAGTGTTATTTTCAAGGCAACTGTTTGATATAAATATAGAAAACAGTGCACTGGCGAGCCAGTGGGAGTTAAACTTTTAACCAGCACCAAACCGGCAGACTTAGCTGATCCAAATTCTTTTACAGCCTGTGGTTCCATAAGTTTTCTCTCATGTTCCTGAATAATCTTTTAAGGACAGGTTCACCCCATTAGAAATGTTTCCAAGTTGAATCTTTCTGCAGCAGGCCGACTCGTTCAGCTTGTTCTGGGGTGGATTCTTATCAGGACCTTTTGCTGTAGGATCAACACTCACTCATCAGACGGTTGAAGTCGGCTTGCGGCATCGCCCTGAACGCTTCGTCGGTGGGAGCGAAGAAGGTGTGTACTCTCTGCTGGTTGAGCAGCTCTGTCATGCCTGCAGTCTGGATGGCTCCGACCAGCTGACTGCAAGAACCGCAGGTTTATTTGAAGACAGAACATATTTCAGAACATGATGAACAGGCAGCGCTCCATCATAACCAGACCTCACCTGAAGCGGTTATCGGCCTTCAGGACGTCCATCACCGTCCCCATGGGCGGAGTCAGGACCTTGTCCACGGTGAACATGGTGGCATAGCGGCCAATTTTGTCATGGGCAGCAATGCAAGCGTTCTCTATACAAAGGTTCTGCAGAGGAACACAAGGAGGAAGCATCACCAGGTCAGAGACTGAACCAGAACCTTTAGTCTGGCCTATCTGTCAAAATATCTCTTTGTTAAAGGAAGACAGCAGGACATAACATCTGAGAGAACAGAGAGGAAGAGGAGGATCAGTCAATTAAAGGGAAAACAATCTGTATTGCTTCTTTTTTGAACAGAGCAGCTCAGAGGAGCTAAATGGATCATCTCTTTCTCAGCTGCCTGCATCTGTAGTGCTGTAGTCCATCAACCTCCTACAGTGGAGCCACATAGTCTCAGTTTCACCAATCAGCAGCCGTCTGACTTCCCTCACCTCTGCATTCAGGTCAACATGGTTTAACCTAACACTAAAACATCAGAATAACTTCCTTTATATCATTTAAATAAAAAATAGGAAGAATAACATCGGAATCAAGACAGAAGCTAAAAGTTATTTTGCTCCTGAATGAAAAAAAAAATCTGCTTTAAATTATACAAAATTAATAACTTTATTTTTGTTTAATTAAGTTGAGTTCACCACAGTTTAACTGAACTTTTATTTTGATACATTAATAAAAAAAAACAAAGCTATTGAGAAAAATGTATGAAGGATCAAATCAATATTGAAATAACGCTTGAATTTCCTCACTTTGGGTTAGTAAAAGGAAACAGTAAATAAAAAAAAACATTTAATAAAAGCACAAACAGTAAGATGTTTTACAGCAACGAGTTTTGGCCAGGAAACGTGGAAATTATCTAGATTTTGTGTCAGCTACATCTGCATGGGGTCTAAAGTCTAATCGCTGAGTCAGAAACATCAGTTGTGATTTTTAAATCCTTCCAGTTCTTCTGCCGACTTAATGGATTGCCAAAGTTCATTAAATGTCTAGTCTTGAGAATGGGAATGTCAGATTAACAGTATTTTTAAAGGTATTGCTGATACCAACTTGTAAAGCCTAAGATAATGCTCCTGTCTGACGCACCAAACTCTTACTTAACAGATTTGTTTGTTAACTTTACTGACGAGTCTTTCAGAGTATTAGGGATTTTATTTCTTATCATAGTTTTAGTAAAGCTGGACGACATACTATTGACCCTTTCCGCTGTTCTACTGTAATTTTAGGTGGGTTGACTGGTCTAAGATGAAAGACATCTGAAATAATAAGAGAGTCATAGTTTTACTGCTGAACAGAGTTGTTTTCCTCAACGATGGTGAAATTATTTCGTTGAAGCTTTTTTTAATGACGATAACGAGAACTGACGAGCTAAACATGGATCTTTGATGACGAAAACTTGACAACACATGAGTGTGAGTTTTTGTCAACGAGACGAGACTAAATAAAAATTTGCGGTTGGTCGATCAGAAATTTAAAATGTATCATTTGGCTGTAATCTGATAGACAAGCTAAGCAGTATCAGGCGTGCTGCTGCTTCCTGTTTGCCTATGCAGCCCACCTGCCGTGCAGCGGTGAACATTCTGCAGAACCACAGATGGACCATGGCAGCAGCTGCTGGTACTGGGAGCTCAACTCTTCCAGCTGTGCTTGTGCAGAAATGTGCGTCTGTGCTTCCCGCTCCACACTCATGGTTCGCTCTCAGCAGTATAGCTCTTCCTCCCCTTGCTCCTTAATAAACTATGTGGCTGATCACCATTAAAAATCCCTTTGTCTAAATGTCAAGTTTTTATTTCTTCCAGCTCACAAGAGGTAATACTAAACATTCTTTAAATTCTACCAAAAGGAATCCCTAAATTATATCCCTCATTTTAAGAAAACACAGTACATATATGGATATATATATATATATATATATATATATATATATATATATATATATATATATATATATATGGATATATATATATATATATATATATATATATATATATATATATATATATATATATATATATATATATATATATATATATATATACAGTGGGGCAAAAAAGTATTTAGTCAGCCACCAATAGTGCAAGTTCTCCCACTCAAAAAGATGAGAGAGGCCGGTAATTTTCATCATAGATATACCTCAACTATGAGAGACAAAATGAGAGAAAAAAAATCCAGAAAATCACATTGTCTGATATTTAAAGAATTTATTTGCAAAATATGGTGGAAAATAAGTATTTGGTCAGTTACAAACAAGCAAGATTTTTGGCTCTCACAGACCTGTAAGTTCTTCTGCAAGAGGCTCCTCTGTCCTCCACTCGTTACCTTCATTAATGGCACCTGTTTGAACCCGTTATCAGTATAAAAGACACCTGTCCACAACCTCAAACAGTCACACTCTAAACTCCACCATGACCAAAACTAGAGAGCTGTCAAAGGACACCCGAAACAAAATTATAGACCTGCACCAGGCTGGGAAGTCTGAATCTGCAATAGGTAAACAGCTTGGTGTAAAGAAATCAACTGTGGGATCAATTTTTAGAAAATGGAAAACATACAAGACCACTGATAATCTTCCTCGATCTGGGGCTCCACGCAAGATCTCACCCTGTGGGGTCAAAATGATCACAAGAACGGTGAGTAAAAATCCCAGAACCACACGGGGGGACCTAGTGAATGACCTGCAGAGAGCTGGGACCAAAGTAACAAAGGCTACCATCAGTAACACACTACGCCGCCAGGGACTCAAATCCTGCAGTGCCAGACGTGTCCCCCTGCTTAAGCCAGTACATGTCAAGGCCCGTCTCAAGTTTGCTAGACAGCATTTGGATGATGCAGACGATGACTGTGGGAATATCATATGGTCAGATGAAACCAAAATAGAACTTTTTGGTAAAAACTCTACTCGTCGTGTTTGGAGGAGAGAGAATGCTGAGTTGCATCCAAAGAACACCATACCTACAGTGAAGCATGGGGGTGGAAACATCATGCTTTGGGGCTGTTTTTCTGCTAAGGGACCAGGACGACTGATCCGTGTGAAGGAAAGAATGAATGGGGCCATGTATCGTCAAATTTTGAGTGAAAACCTCCTTCCATCAGCAAGGGCTTTGAAGATGAAACGTGGCTGGGTCTTTCAGCATGACAATGATCCCAAACACACCGCCTGGGTAACGAAGGAGTGGCTTCGTAAGAAGCATTTCAAGGTCCTGGAGTGGCCTAGCCAGTCTCCAGATCTCAACCCCATAGAAAATCTTTGGAGGGAGTTGAAAGTATGTGTTGCCCAGCGACAGCCCCAGAACATCAGTGCTCTAGAGGAGATTTGCATGGAGGAATGGGCCAAAATACCAGCAACAGTGTGTGAAAACCTTGTGAAGACTTACAGAAAACGTTTGATCTCTGTCATTGCCAACAAAGGGTATAAAACAAAGTATTGAGATGAACTTTTGTTATTGACCAAATACTTATTTTCCACCATATTTTGCAAAAAAATTCTTTAAAAATCAGACAATGTGATTTTCTGGATTTTTTTTCTCATTTTGTCTCTCATAGTTGAGGTATATCTATGATCAAAATTACCGGCCTCTCTCATCTTTTTGAGTGGGAGAACTTGCACTATTGGTGGCTGACTAAATACTTTTTTGCCCCACTGTATATATATATATATATATATATATATATATATATATATATATATATATATATATATATATTTGTTGGTACTCTAATATTACATTTTTTTATCACAAATATTTTCTGAAAAATTACTTCTGCCTGTATTTTTAATGGTCAGAAAGTAAATTTTGGGCCCCCCGGCGGGCGTGATCGTAACAATGTGACCAAGACTAATAATAGTTTTCGTCCTGAAGACTAGGAGTAAATCTAAGAGGGCTGTGGAAAACAACATTGCTGCTGAATAATTGATACTGATGATGCTGAACTTCAGTCAGTTTTTAAAAATAAATGTTAAAAAAGTGAAGTTGTTAATCAGAAAACTTTGATGCAGCCTTCATAAAGATCTCATGATGCACTTACAGTTAAGATTCTTATCAACTGCGGCTTCTGCTTGGATCAGGACGTTTTTAGTGTGGTAGAGGTCTACAGTGTCTCAGCATGAATCCGGCTAGTTTGTTTTATCTGATTTTATTTGCATTCTTTCAATTTAAAATCTGAACCTTTCCATTTTACTTCCCCTGTTAATTACCCTCTGATGAGGAACCCCTGCTGATATGAAAGAGCCAGAAGATTATTAGCAAAGGGAGAGCAACAACAGGAAGGAGAACAGGTTTAGGGTTGAGGAGCCATAAACAAGAGAAAGGAAAGAATCCTGCTGTAAACTTCCAGTTTTCATAAGCGAGGTCGGCCAGCAGCACTGATCAGGGGCTAAAACAGACTTAACCTCTCAAAACCATTTTAAAGTGTTTATAATAATAACTCAGAATGCATGAAGATTACACTGGTAAAATGTTTACCAATATAGAGATGTTAGACATCATTTCAAAGCATAGATTCTCCTAAATTCAACCACCTAGTTCATTTTATGGACGTAGCGAGGACCAAAGCACAGATAACACAGATATAGCAGCATGTCAAAATGCACCAAGACAAAGCAGCCAAAACAAGCAAGCATGTCTTTATAACTGCTGTTAAAAAAAGACCTATTATTTTCAAGAATTAAAAAAACAACTTTGAGTCTTGTTTGAACTGATACAGCTTGGATGTTTCACTCACCCAATTTTTATGTATATATATTCAGAAACTAGAAGGTTTTAGCGTTGAAATAATGTATCACACGTGTAATTTGTAATTTTCAAGTTATTTGCTTTTCCATTTAGGTATGTAAAATAGGCGAGAATTTCCCAAAATGAGGTGGATTAAGAGGTTAACTCTTCATATAATAAGGATATAGAGCAAAACTTCTTACATTTCTGTAGACAAAGACTCGCAGTTTAAGGCCTCCCATGGTTTCCAGCTCCTGGCCATGATAAAGGGACTTGGAGGACAGTTGCGTCTTCAGGATGTGGTTCTTCATCAGCTTTCTCATCTCTGGAGTCATTGTCAGACTTCCTATTAGACAAAGTAGGAGAAAGTGTTTAACACACCAGGTCTGTAAATCCTCTGCTCTCTTCTCGTTTATGCAAGCTTTACCTTTGAAGGCATCGTTCAGAGGAGCTAGCAGGGTCAGGGCCTCTGAGCCTGCAAGGTGAGATGAAAGACCGGCATCCACAAACAACCTGGTAGCCGTGGTGACAGATGAGCTCTCAGCCAGCTCCAGGAGAGTTTTAGCTGCAGAATAAAGAAGAGTCAGATGCTCAAACCTTGAGGCTGAAGTCATAAAAACTGAATGCTGGACGGTCAGCCGGTTCTAATGGGTCACCCTGTGGTTAAACTGCTGAAAAAGCTGGCTAGCTATTGTTAAAATAACATTTATTAAAGTGTTAATATACTGACACCCAATTTGTGTTAAACTTACACCAGCCATTGTTGATTATCCAAACACTACTGGGTGTGGTTTTAACATTAGAATAGGGTTTGTGTTAAAATAGAATGGTCAAATTAACACCAGTGTGATGTTTTTTACGACACCAGAGGCTTGTTTTTTTTTATACAGTGGGTTAACAGAAAAGAGAGTACGAGAGAGGTTGGGTTTGAGCCCGGGTCTAAACTAAACTTGGCATCTCCATGCCAAGTATAATGGACAAAACCCCTAACTATTCAAAAAATGCACAGAAATTCAAAGTTTAACCTTTTTATGAAACTGTTCTCTTTCAAAGACCTCAAACAATGCACAGATCATATAAAAAAACAGGAGAGAACAATATACGTTTTTTCGTCATTATATATTAGGTCTGACAGACAGATGTAGTAGTCAAAAGAAATACTTTATCCTTGTTGACTATGATGCTCACAATTTTTTGAAGCAGGCACTAGAAAAGAAGATGGCGTCTCCTTTAACCAAAAAATTAAGTTACGCCATTTGCAGCCATTACGTGAGGGCGTGGCTTAAACTAAACAGCAAACAGATAACACTCGGATCTAACCATGTAAATATGTCAAAAGTTAGGCTGGCAGTATTATTTTACTGCTGTTTATTGTTAATACAACATTCACACTATTTAATTAACACTACATCTAAGGTTAAAGACTGGCATTTTTGCTTTGTATGAGTTCTGTGCAGTAAGTACCTGAGTCTGGGATGAGCAGCTCATTAATGTAATGGATGACTCCGTTTGTTCCCAGTTGGTCCTTCTTGGTGATGATGGCCTTCCCGTTCAGAGTCATCTGGTCCCCGTCACAGCCCACCTCCAAGGACGTGCCCTGCAGCGTCTCCATGGAGGACCCCGACACAATGGATTCAGAGCAATGCAGCTGCCTCAGGATGTGGTAGTTCAGCAGGTCTGAGGGGACAGCCAGAGAACTTAAGCAGACTGAGAGATAGAAAGATCACCAGCTAGGATGTTAGAAGGTTCACCTCTCAGAGACACTGGGTCCCCCAGGATCCTGTTCAGGGTCTCTGAAGGAATCTTCTGAAAGGCTTCATTGGTGGGGGCAAAGACGGTGAATTGACCCCCTCCCTCCAGCAGGGTGCTTAGTTCTGCAGCAGCAAACGCTGCCTGAAACACAAACTTACTAATGAGTGTGACTGGTAGTATGGAGCCATGGATGGTTTGGGTTTACAGAAACTCTGGCTGAAAGCAATGTCAAAATTGGAAGGTTTAGATCTTTGGGCTCCTCACTGATCAGTTTACTCACACGGAGCTTCTCCAGATCGTCGTCAATATCAATGATGGACAGCATGTCGTTGGACACGGCAGTGATGACACGGTCGATGACGTGTACGATGCCGTTGGTGGCATGTTGGTCGGGTTTGACCAGACGGGCACAGTTCACAGTTATGATCTTAGAGACAAGAAGGCAATCAGGGATCAATCCAGTGTTGGACCCAACAAACAATAACCAGACTGTAACTGCATCTCCCAGGAGGCATTGCAGCTCTGACATTACCACACAAATTATCAAAGGCCCTGACTGTGTCCAAATGTCCACCCATTTCACTATATAGGGCTATATATAGTGGTTACGCCATTTTGGATATGTGTCCGCACATCTAGTGAATGAAGAAGTATTGGACCTGAAATTTCCCACAATGCACCTTGAAAATTTGTTTTGGCAGCCACAAATAAGCAAAAAGTAGTGATCATCCATACAAAAGGTCAGTTAACTGAGTTCACTATAAAGTCCCCTTTATAGTCCCCGCTCTATAAAGGGTATAAAGTTTAGGGCGGACGTTCAGACCCAGCCCACATACTTAACGGTTGATTGCAATGTGTTTAAAACAGTTATAAATTTTAGCCATTACTAGCTGGTTAATTTTTAATTGATAATTCAGTTTGTTCATTTAAACCTTTTAATCCTCCCCGCCCCATTAATTTAGATTCTGTTGTGTACATAAACTATCTATTAAATGTGGCTGAATTTGATTAGCATAAAATCACATGTATCATAATTATTTTTTAATAGATATTAACTATCAAGAATGACTAACTGCATACCACCAGTATGGCTATAAAACTTTGCGTTGCAGGTTACAGTGTCAGCCAGCTCATTATATTAGAGTTATGTCATCATGTTACATCGTGTTTTGGGCGCATTGGTGTGCTACACTGATGAGTCACATTGTGCTGTATTGTTTTACATTGTGTTATACTGTTCGGTTGTCCTCCATGTTGTACTGCAGAGCTGCAAAGAGTTACAACCTTTCAGACAGCGGGTTTATTGCATCTCTCTATTTTGTATCAGAGGATTCTAGCATATTCTGTAGTATTAATCTGTGCTCGGTCACCCCGTTGCTGTAGTGGTGGATGTGGACGAGTGAATCCTGATACATAGAGGTAAAGGTGGATCCGTGTTTCAGCTCCTCAGAGGTCAGTCTGCGGTTCACCATGTGGTAATGAAGCGCGTTCAGCAGCTCGATGTTCACGTTGCTCACCAGAGCATCCAGGATCTCCTGCAGCAGGAGGACAGATCACCATGAGCACCTGCAGCATGTTAGCTTTGAGGTTCCCCATAAGGGGGGTTTAGGGGTGTACTGACTGCAGGCAGGGCGGCCCAGGCCTCGTTACTCGGAGCGAAGAAGGTAAAGCTTCCAGGACCTTCCACCTCCTCCCTCAGTCTGGCTCGTTCAGCATACAGCTGAGTTGTGGTGGCACCGACCACGCCCAGAGTGTTGTAGATGTTCACCAGAGGCAGCGCTGGAAGAGATGACCTTCTTTGTTAAAACTTAATGGTTTAGAGAGCAGAGGATGTCAAGGGTCACATGACGTACCAGCAGGACAGCCTTTCTCTCCAGGAACCTTCTCATAACCTGGACAGCATTCATAGGTGATGACCCTGCAGAGGAGACAGAGATGGGTCATGCGGGTTTTACTGGAGCTAGGTCAGATTCTGACAAATTCTTTATGTTCCTCAGGGTAAAATGTTCCTCCTTACAACCATCAGAACCAGAAACTTGGAACTCAGATGAACAGTCTTAGCCTCTTGGAAACAGAAACTGACAAAACATGAAGTTCAAGTTCAAAAGGAAGTGGACGGATGTTCTGAAGTCAGCCATTAACACCTGAACATTAGTTTATTTCATTGAGAAAAAAAATTATCACTTTTTTTATATATCGTTGGACTTTTAAGTTCTTCCAGGATTTTTGTCTGCAGATCAGAAACCCAAAGCTAAAAGAAGCCCAGTGGTGGATAACATTCTGCAGGTCCACTGGTTCAGATGAAGCTCAGATGTTCTAATTTAACAGATTTAAAGCTCACAGAGAGAATTGGACGCATCAATGATGTCCACTTCCTGATGCTGGGACATTTTAACTGCCTTCTGCTGGTAACGTCATTTCACCGTTCTAACCTGTCAGAGGAGTTCTAAACATGACTCAGAACCAGGCTGTTCTCAAATTCCAGATCAGAATCCCACCTGAACAGCTGAGGATTGAAATTGGAATGCTGGAAGAGGATCAGATCATAAACACTAAAGAACTGAGGCTTCAGGCTCAGAACCCGTCTGGTTCTGGTCCCAGCAGTTAGATATTCATAAATGTTCAAAAATTTTCCAGCTTTAATGCAATATTAATCCTGACGAATCACCAAAAACACCAGGGTTTGTGGCTTTCATTGGGCTTAAGACCTTTAACTTGTAGAACTTTAGTTGAAGGACATTCTGGTTCTGGTCCAGCTTTTTCATTGCTCTGTCAGCATCTCACTTCCTGACTGCTAATATGTTTTTACTCATGTCCAAAAGTCTTCTAGATCTTTCAGATATCTCCTTAGGAAACCACTGATGTTCTGTCGATCTTTGTCTGGACACGTCCATTCCAGAACTTGGATCTCCCTTCTATGAGGTTATTCTTTAGCTGCTTTGGAACCAAACTGATAATGAAAAATAATACTTAAAGGTTTTTGGTCAAACATTAACCCCATAGAATGATGCTGCCACCACTATGTCTCACTCTGGTTATCCGCTTTTTCTTGATGCTTACTGACGTCTCTGTGCTAAACTTAGGTACTTTTTAGAACTAAGACCCAAAAGTTCCAGTTTGGTTCCATCAGAACATTTTTTCCCCAGACTTTTTAAAATGAAACAGTTGAACACAAGCGTTACGGAAAACCACATCATTTAGTTACTTAAATAAAGATCTGGTAGTCCGTCCCTCTGAAGGTGGGTTCCCACCAGAGAGGAGAGGAGACATTTCTCATTAAATAATAGGGAGGCTAAACCTCATAAAACTATTGGTAGAATATGCACCTGTTGTACTAATGTGTTTTATGTGTTTCATCATAAATGCAATTTGTGACATTTGTATTTAATTAACATCATTAAGCCTTTCAGAGAGCAGCAGCCGCCCCCTAATGTGTTTTCCGCAACTGGAGCCACAGATGTATGTTATTCCTACGTAGAGGCATGAGAACATAAGGAGCAATGTGATGCATTTCTAGTGGTGCAACAGGAATCATTTTATGGCAGTTCCAGTACAGGCACAACACCTTAACTGAGATGGTTGCAGCAGCTGGAAAATCTGAACTTTAGCGACAACCCATCAGCACTGAAAGCAATTGTTATGTAGGGTGAAGGAGCAGAGTGTAGAACATCTTTTTTTTTTTTTTTTTTATAAAAATGGATCTTCAAAAAAATTATGTGTACATAAGATGAGGTAGGAAATGTTCTTAAGGTTTGTGGGAAGCTTTAAAAAAGTAAAATCATTCTTCTTCATCTGTCATCTCATAGCCACAGAGCCTTTCCTCAGCGTCATGTCTTGATCTACTGCCTCTCTCCCGCTCTGCTGTATCTCCCGCTGCTCCCGTCTGAGCTCCAGAAGGCCACCCCCCACTGCACAATCCAAGAGATTATCCCCTGAAGTGGGATAGATTCAGTTTCTGATCAGACGGAAGCAGACGGATCAGTACAACCCCAGTCTGAGTGTAATTACAGAAAGGGCATCGTAGAAATGAACTTAATAAATGAATCATTTCAATAGTTCTTTAGCAAAAAAAAAAAAAGATAAAAAGTTACATTTTGTTGCACGTCAAAATAAACAATTCAAATTATTGCATCCAATTTTTTCTGTCTTTTTAACATTATGGTTTTTTAAACAATTCTAGGAGAGCATTCTAGGGAGTGGCGGCCTAGTGGTTAAGACATAGAGCTTGGAATCCTGAGGATCTGAGTTTAAGCCCCACTCCCACAGACTGCCCGGATCTCTGAGCAAGACCCTTAACCCCCGATTGCTCCCCGGGCGCCCCACGATGGCAGCCCACTGCCTTCCCAGGGGATGGGTTAAATGCAGAGATATATTTCTCCAATGTGAGACAAAATGACAATAAAACAGACACATAGCTTTGCCCTTAAAGTCTACTTAATTAATTTTTTCTGCTGCTAATTAACTCACTTGTTCTTTGTGGCTGAAATGTGCACCGGCTTTATTGCTGGGGTGGATGGATTTAAAACGTCTGTGATCCACATTTTGCCTTTCGTTCATGTAGAGTTCTACAAACACAGATATTTGAAACAGTAGTTCAGACGTTCTAAACAACCTGCAGAAGCTACGAGGACGTTCTGTTCATGGCGGTGAACTGGGAATTTAAATAAAAAGGTCTTTATGAAGCCCGACAAGTTCTGACTGTGACAGAGTTGGATTGAACTCCAATAATCTTGAAGGGAGGAACACATGAGGGAAACACAGTTTGAATAAGAACCAAAGGCTCTCTGCAATAGATATTGAAATATATGATGGCTCCATCCAGCCGATCATGGATCAAGGATCAATCACTCTGCTAGAACATTATGCTTTGTGAAGATGAACACAATGATAAACGAAGCAACCTGTATTGGTTCTGATCTGATTCTTTTAGCACCAGGGAGACCAGGTGGAGCTCTGTCAGCGAAGAAAGCTCCCAACTCCATGACAGCTATAATGAATCGTGCAGCCAAGCCGTCAAAACTGTAAAGATTTCCACAATAAACCAGAACCCGCCGTCTGGACTCATAAAGCTCATTTCCTCCAAGAGAAGAAGCATCTGCAGCCAACCGGGACGATGGCGCCAGGAAAACCCAAAGCTCCAGGATTCCTGCTGGCTGCAAAATGAAACCCGCCACATAGGTTAAGAATTTGGTTCTGCTGTGAGAGAAAAGCTTCAGATCCAATATGTTCGGACAACATTCCTCCAGGTGAAGAGCAGGAACACCACAGCAGCAGAAGAACATGAGGCTGCCACGTTCAACTCCACACTCATAAGCAAAGGTCCAGGTCTGATGGGTTCTGACTGCAATTAAAGGAAAGTTCTGTTCTGCGTCCCAAGAAAATGGGACAGAAACCATCTCAAGATGGAGTTCCTCTATCAGAATAACCCTAAGACTGAGATTTTTAACCTAAATCACAACAACTGGAACAATTGAAGATCTTTATTTTGGACCCACAGACTCGGGTCTATTGACATGGACTCCATGATTCTGCCTCCAGTAGGGATCAAACTAAAGTTCAAGCAATGTTTCATCAAACGGGTCTGAAGAACCAGACTGTAGGAACATGGAGCTGAAAAACCTCTGCTAACACAGAACCTCCTCAGCAAAGAGGTTTGGATCAAATTGGCTCTTCCAGCTGGGAGCAGGTTTTACAGCAACCAGAGATCCAGAAACTTTAAGGGCAGAAAGCTCTCAGCACTTCATCTGTTGCCCGTCAGGAACGTCCAGAACCTTTACTCTGCCAGATCCCCATGAATCCCACTGGGAGCAGGTGGTTTGTGCTTCTGTTCTGGAAAAGATGGTTTTGGGATCCCTTCAAATGATGTCCTCACCAACTGCAGATAATGTGATAATGTGTTAATTAGCACCAGACTTTCAGCTATAAGAACACCAACAGAACCCCTCAGATTGAGAGCCAAACCCAAACCACACTCACAGCTCACACTGGACAGAGGAATGGTCTGGTTCTCAGTCTTTCAGACCACATGGGTCAGGATCAACACCATCAAGAACACAGAGTTGCTAATCTTCAGAACCAAACTCTGATCCAGATGTTGGCAAGGAGCTCCGGCTCACTGAAACACATGCTCCATTACACCAGAACCACTGCAGCTCACTTAACGCCGGTAACACACAGCTGTTTCTGTTCTTGTTCTGAGTAGAGTTTTGTTCTCAGACTGGAAGTTTTCCACATTGACTAAGGAGGAAACCCTGGAGCAGACTCAACGCTCTGACCCAGAACTGCCAGGAGGAGCCAACTGAAGGATGTGTGGGTTTCTCTTCTTGACCCGCTACTGCTGGCCCAATCCTAGAAAAGTTAGATTTAGTCACTCTTATTTTAAACAGCTCCCGTACAAGTTTAGTTTCACATTGATGTGGACCTTGTTCTGCAATGGACTGGATGAGTTATGGTATGCTGAACCTTCTGCTCCTTCCTTACTGGACCTTTGCTTCTCCGTGGGTTTGGAGATAATATTAACCCACTGAGAGGCTAAATGTTTTCCTTCCACTCTCCAGTTTTCTGTTAATAGAGGGGAAAAATCATAAAGCTGCAAATCTGATCCTGAACTTTGCTGTGTTTTTGTGATCCCAGAACGTCAGGTTCCAGGTGATTTTTCCAAACTCAGTCCAACTCTCAAGCGACTCCAGCTGCAGCTTGTTAAAGGAATAAAATTAAATGACTGGAAGCAGAGAAACAGCCAGTGTTCCTGCAGTAAATGTCAACAGATGGAGATCAGCTACCGTGTGAGCAAGCTAGCACCAACACACTGGTCTGATTATCCAACCAGACGGAAAACCCATTCCATTTGTTCTCAACATAAACAAAGATGGCTGCCGAGGATTTCTGTCTAAACAAACAGAGCGAGGGCACAATAAT